CCGTCCGTGAGTTCGAGCCCCGCGTCAGGCTCTGGGCTGACGGCTCGGAGCCTGGAGCCTGTTTCCGATTCTGTGTCTCCCTCTCTCTCTGCCCCTCCCCCGTTCATGCTCTGTCTCTCTCTGTCCCAAAAATAAATAAACGTTGGGAAAAAAAAAAAAAAAAGACGGGGTATCTCTGACCCCCCCCCCCCAGCCAGGTTTCAGATTTCGGCACCCCTACCCTCCACCCGCCTCGGTCAGGGAAGGCTCTCCAATGCCATGCTGTTCATCTGGCGGTGGCTAAGGCAAGCTGGGAGGTGCGGGCAGAGCAGTGTGGGGGAGGGTCTCTCAAGCACAGGGAGCTCAGAGGCCTTGAGGAGGGGCGGGCCGATTCCTTCAGGACAAGGAGGCCTGTGTGGCAGGGGTGAAACGGCGGGGGGTGGGGGCAGAGAGACAAAGAGTCAGCACATGCCATTCTCGCCCTCCCTTTACTGGCAGCTGCCCTCCCTAGAGTGGGCCGCGGGTGGCAGAGGCCAGCGAACTGGTGTGCTTGTGTGGTGTCCCCAGGCCTGGCACAGGTCTGCACACCGGGGCTCCGGCACCGTGGAGGGCAAGGGGGATGTGCCCGCACGACCCGGGCCAGCGGTCCGTTACAGAGGAGGTGGGGGGGGGGGCGCGGTCTTTCCCCCCACAGACTGCAGGAGGGCATGCCCCCCAGGCCCAGCGCCCTGCCTCTGGCCTTCTCCGCCCCCCCACCACCGTGTCTGGCACAGCCTCGATTCGCCCGGCATGTCACCAAGGTGGGGAGGGAGGTCCTCAGAGGCCGTGGGAGCCTGTGTCTGTGATCAACTAGCAACACACACCCCCACTAACTCCCTGCTGTCAACCTTCACCGCCAAACGCTCGCCCCAGCGCTCACCAGCCTCCTCCAGACAGCCTGGCCAGATCGTCCCCCTCCTCCCACACCCCAGCTTTCTAGCCTCTGACCCCAGCCTCCATGTTCCCCTGACGGCTGTGCATCAGGGCCGGATGCCCGGTGGTTTGATTTCAACATCCAGCCTTCCACCCACACCGGCAGCGCCCGGCCGCCCCCCTCTGCCTCCTCCTGCAGCCAGGGCTCAGGCCTGGAACCAGCCCTTGAGGTCCCGGTAGACCCGGTCTCGCGGCAGGCGGGGGTAGTGGGTGCAGACGGCACAGAAGCGCTCTCGCCAGTCCCCAAACAGCCGCACGTGGAGCCGGTCCCGCCAGGCAAAGTAGCGCCGATAGCGGCTCTCGTTCATGCCCACCAGGAACGAGGCCAGCTCTCGGACCGTGCCGAAGTCGTCCACGTGCACGAAGGCGTCGGCGGGCGCGAAGGCCTCGTAGGTGGCCCTCGGGGGCCCCAGCACCACGGGGACGGTGCCGGCGGCCAGAGCGTTGCGCCAGAACTTCTCGGTGATGTAGTCTCGGTGCTGCGAGTTCTCGAAAGCCAGGTAGAAGAGGTACGGGGCCACGGTGGGCAGCAGGCAGCTGGCACAGAGCGGCCGCCCGCTGGCGCGGCCGAACACGTCCACCCGCAGGTGGGGCGCCAGCTGCCGGTACAGCTGCACGCGCCGCTGCCGCTCCTGGAGGTTGCTGACCACCCAGGCTGCCGTCCCGCTCTTGGCCGGCAGCGGCGGGGCGGGCCCCGCGTGAGGCTCCAGCCGGCCGTAGGGCACGAAGATGTCCGAGTCCCGCCGGTAGCTAAGCACCCAATTGAAGATGCCGCCCAGGCGCCCGAGGCCGCGGGTGTGGCTGGGCGACTCCATGGAGGCCCACACCCAGGGCTGCCCCCGCGGCCGCTCGGCCAGGGGCAGGCGGGCCCGCCGGCTCTGCAGCTCGCGGTGGTGAAACACCACGACGTCCGCGCTGGCCAGCAGGCTGCGGTTGGTGCTCAGGCGGCAGCGGGGCACCCCGTAACGGACGCAGGTGTCGCCGGACAGCTCCGGGGGCTGGTCGGCGAAGGGCCAGTGCCAGACGAGGACGGTGAGCGTGGGCGGCGCCGCGGGGACCCTCGCGGGGGCCCACCCGAGCTGCCACAGGAGCCACAGGGTGGAGAGCAGGGCGGCTCCGGCCAGCGTCCCCAGATGCCCGACGCCTCTGAGTGGGGCCGCATCCTACAGGGGACACGCGGCGGGGGGGGGGAGAGCGGCTGTCTTCCCGGCGCGCCCCTCGGGCCCCTTCCTCCCGGCCCAGGTCTCCCGGGGGACCACGCACTCACCAGCATGGCTCATCCACAGCGCCCGGTTGCAGCCACCCAAGGATCTCAAATCACAGCAGCCGCTAGGCAGAGGCGCCCTGAAATCACAGCTGCGCCCCCGCGCCCGGCCCCACCTGGAAGCGATCTCCTTTCATCTGCCCAAGATGACAGAAACCAGGGTATCTTCCTGCTCCCGCTCCGCCCCGGCCCCCGCCCTGGGGGTGACCTTTGGTAACAGCCACCATCCTGGTTCACCCGCCTGCCCGCCCGCCCCCCCCCCAGCGCCCGCGGGCTGTCTCCTCCGAGCCTCTGGCTGTGGGGGAGGGGGGCTAGGTGGTTCTAGGAGGGGCGCCATCCAGAGCCCACACCAGGCCCCGCTCCCCTGCTGAAGGGGCCCGGGGCCAGCAGGGGAGGGGCCGTCCCGGGCCGATGGGGGGGCCCCCTTCCCAGAAGAGCGCCCCGCTGGCAAGGACCCAGTCACTGCCCGCCACCCAGGCCCGGAAAGCAGGGCGCACTTCCCTGGGAGGCCCCTCCTGCGGTAGCATCACCCACTTCCCCTGCCCAACGCCTGCCCGCTCTGCCACTCCCAGACCCCCACAAAGACCTGCTGCGCTCAGCGCCCTGCCAGGAGCCTGAGCCTTCGGCCACAGCTTCTCACGGCGCTGCCCCGCCCCTCCTCACCCCTGCCGCCTCTAGCACGCCTGCCTCGCCACACGACCCAGGTTCCCAGGGAGGGGGACCGCCCCGGGGTCCCGGGAGCGTCCACACCAGGCCACAGCACGTGCCTAGGAAGGGCAGGCGCCAGCCTGGGCCCGGCCCCGGGGTGGGCTGCAGGGCCATGTGCCTTCTTTCCTCACCCAAGGACACATGTCCACGGAAGTCCCAGGGTCCCGGCCGGCCTGGAGTATGGGCAGGGGCCTGCCCTTGGGGGCTCCAGGCCTCTTCCTCCGGGCCCCACAGCCCAGGATGGGGGTGGGGACAGGGAGGGGGCTT